CTAGACAGTGAAGATGGGAAGAAGCGCCAAAAAAGGACAAAATAACATCATATTCCCATGCCCGTGCCCTGGAATTCGAGTGCGGGCAGTGACGACAGACACCGAACGTTTGAAGGGATGTCCCGAGTTATGAGGTAGGTGCACATCCATGCTCACCACTCGAGGAAGGAGAGGCTCCGCCGATTCCCCAGCGCCGCCTTCCCCATTCCTGATGCATCTAGACACCCTAAGTTTTGCGCCTGTCACGCGTGGAAACAGTGCCAGGTGGTATCAAAGTGACGGTAGCCAACGGGGGTTGAGCATCTTTTGAGTCAGGCTCGGAAACAGGCTCGGTCAAAAAGTTGGGATGGAATGCTGGAATGAGTCCTCCCACATACCGAGACAGGTGGAGCACCCGGCCAGTTTCCAGCTCACAGCTCTGAGATATCCCAGATCGCTTCGTTGACAACAGCGAGACGGCCAGCATGATAGAGGCGTTTATTTGACTATACAAAGTCGCGGTCGAGGAACCTGCCGAGCCCGGCCGAGCAGAATACCCTTTCAGATCCGAGAGGGCTTGCAGCGATCAGCGCACCGCCCCTTGAAAACCGAGCACCGTCAGGGAAGGTTTCGGCGTCTTGGGAAGCATCACTGCGCGACATGAACATGTTTCACGAATTGGCACTGTCTGTGCGAGCTCTGGGCTACGGTTGCTTCACCGTGCGTTGGGGCATTGCTAAACTTAGTGGTTACCCCTCACCTAGTCTTCAGATTGTCCAGATTGTTTACTGTTGTACATGGGACAATAGATCCCCACGTGGGCTTTCACGATGCTTGAGCTCATACACTACACGAACAGATATCACATCTATGTAGCAACGTTCTGTCGACACGATGGCGAATAGGAGTGAAAGCAACCGAAGAATATCACATGGAGAGATCGTTGAGTTTCAATTTCGCTATTCTATTAGCACCATTGGCAAACCGGCTTCACGCCCTTCAGCTGAAGTGCTTGCTGGCGGTGAGGTAGAACTGCTCGCCCTGGAGAGTGGCAATCTCCAGCTCCAGCTTGGTGGGCTGGCGCGAGCCGTCTCCACCAGCAAAGGTACCGGCGCCCCAGGGAGAGCCGCCGTGGATCTCCTCAAGGTTGGACAGCTGGCCAAATGTCTTGGCGTAGCCGAGGGGCACGTAGATGATGCCGTGGTGGGTGAGGGTGGACAGAGAGGCAATGGCAGTAGACTCCTGACCACCGCCGAGAGTGCCGGTCGAGATGAAGACGCCAGCCAGCTTACCGAAGAAGCCACCGGTCGCCCACTGCTTGCCGGTCTTGTCCCAGAAAGTCTGGGGGAGCCATGAATGTTAGTTTTTGCCCAAAGGGATATTCTGCCCTGACAATGCTTTGTGAACATACCTTCCACTGAGCGGGGAAGTTGCCGTAACGAGTGGGAATGCCCAGCAGGAAGGCATCGTACTCGGCGAGGACACCGGGGTCCTCGAGGACGGGAACGTCTGTTGGCTTAGGAGGGGCGTGCATCTTGGCTAGGACATCCTCAGAGAGGGTCTCGGGAATCCTGAGGACCGAATGAGCAACGTTCAGCAGCTAGTGGGCAGCTTCCAAGGGTTGACATACTGATACAGGTCGGCGGTGCCACCAGCCTTCTCGATACCGGCCTTCTCGGCGTCCGCCAGCTGCCTGATATGTCCGTAGGTGGAGTACTGAGAGGGAACAAACCGTCAGCATGTATCTCAAATCAGTCATGTTCGCCAAAACCGGTCACGGTGAACTGATGCTTTTCTCCAGCCGCGAGAGGTGAAGTGGATGGGTGCGGAACTCCGCACGTTAAGGTGGCCGCTAAAACGATCTTGCATACGATGAATGCATCTGAGAGCCTATCGGTGTGGTATCTGGAGAGGGGCATGAGCCCCGTATACCTTCAGGTCTCGGCCGTTCTCAAGAGATACGAGTATCGGACATCCTTGGGAAAAACAGACATCTTCTCAAGCAGGAAGCCGGTCCACCTGAGGATAGGAGAAGAAAAAGGGAAGTGAGCTGGGGCGGTCTTACGTAGACGATGGCGATCTTGGGAGCCATGGTGACTTTTCTACAAGCGTGTTTGAGACGAGAGGGATGAGCTTTGAGGGATGAGCTTTGTGTGTGAATGTAGTAGCTGTGATACTGGATGAAGAGATGGGATGGATAGCAAGTCGAAGGCGAGGAGGGCGAGGAACATCATGCCCTCTTATACATCAAGCTGTTCACCAAGCTGCCCTAGTCTTGTCCAGTCCTGTCGGCGACCAAATACGACACGGTGCGTACCGCGGACGAGACAATCGGCGGGCGCCATCACATCCTCGATGCCAACGAGTTGATCCATGGTGGCATTGAGATGGGTTAGCCCCTCCTTTCTTCTCGTCCCAAATGTTCTTCCCATTGGAGGGAGGGGAGCTTCATGGAGCTCTACCCCTCCGTCACTCGTCCCGCCCACGACTGGCGGCCGGCGGAAGCTTGCCCCGCGCTAGCCCTGACGTAGCATGGCCAGCAGCGGCCCCACTGAGGGGCATCATCACTCAAGCTGAGTAACTGCTTAACAAGTCGGGATTCAACACCACACAAGCACCATTGACGACATGTGCTGTGCTTGCAATCCTTACCCAAGCATCCCAAACCAGCCAGGCGCCAGAGCACACCATTCTCCATCTGGCTACATAATCAACTAGTCATGGCTGATGTACACCATCGATCATGCCAAGGTTCCATATGGAGCGGCTGCGTTGCAGCACTGCGGCAGCTTGACACCTAAGGAGCCATGTTTGATTGTGTTAACAATTTGGGATCCAGCCAGAGTGCTTCCTTCTCATTGGCAGCCTACATTTTATTTTATTTTATTTTTATTTTAGAGATCTGACCCGTGATTCATACCCCTTAGCGGTTGATGATTAGTAGTTTGGGCAGCGTCGACCCATGTTCGCCGACTGCAGCTTACGTTGCTTCCACTATGGGTCGATCCAGGTGTCTGGAGTAAAATCGCTGGGTGTGGGGGCAGCGCACCCGCCTTTGACCATGTATCGCGCGCGCGTGTTCCTTCCAGCATCGCCCGCGTATATAGGTTTCATCGGGATGCTGACGAATTGATCAATTGATGAGCAGCATGTGAATAGCCCAAACCGAAGCTTCCGAGCTGAGGAGGCTGCGTACGCCGGCCCACGAACAGACACGCCATCACCAGGCGGGGATCTTTTGATGGGCACGTAGACGACCAACCCACGCGGCCGTATGCCTAAGCATAATTGCCTCATAACTCTCTTCAATATGCGAAGGCTCGTCAAGATCTCACATTCATTTTTGGGCTCAAATCATGGGGGATCGTCCGTTGAGCCTCTCATCCCCATTCTCAAACAGTGTCAGTCAGAGCTTACTCCACCGCGAACCAGCCTATCGTTTCACAGCCCCGAAACTGCAACCTCGTCCCAGGAGAGGACCTGCCAGAACCCCCGCCATCTGAAGTTCCCCCTTGACCGTTTCAGCGTCGAAAATCCGACTTCATAGAGCAATGTACTTCATCTGTAGCTGCGAAAAACCATCAACTCAAACACTCAGAGTACGGACTTTCGTTTGTTTCGGACCACTTCACTTCATGATGATATAGTTCATCATTTTTTTTCATTGTACGATCTTTCGTTCTTATTTTGCACGGATTCTTTTCATCGAAAGCCTGGAGCTTCCTATCATGCAGCGCGACACATCACCCTACCAAGACGACGACTTCAGAGAAGTTCAGTTCAATGCGGAACCCAAGGCAGCACTGCTACACAGCTGCGAGTCCCAACCTTGGGACGATGACGTCGAGCGCCAGAAATCACAAACATCTTCAGTTTTTCGATTTCTCTCCCGCTGGCGCTGGATCCTCGACACATCACTCTTAATAATTATTCTCCTTCTCGTCCTCGACCGCCAAACGCAACAGCAAGAACCCCCCAACCGAATGTCGCAGAATGGCGACATCACGGGCTTTATCCCCGAGTGTGCGACTCCCATCATACCCTATGAGATGCAGATCTTGTAGCGCTCTTACTGACACGAGCCAAAGTCTCCCAACAATTGACGACTTTCTCGCCGTCCGAGACTTATATCCCCACCAACCTCTCGACCTTTCTCTCCAACGAGACGCAGGACGCATGGCTCGACCTCATTCCGCGTGGGCTCGGCTACCTCGACACCACCCCAGCCGAGGATCTCAACAACCTCCCTACACCCCTCCCCGAATACGCGCCCAAGCGCGTCTTCACTACGAGCGTAACACATCAGTTGCATTGCCTCCACGCCATCGTCAAAGAGTTCGCCTCCCTCCAGCCCGGTGCAGCCAGCTGGCGGCGCCGCGCCGAGGACGAGCACGATCAGCATGGCGGCGAAGCCCACGACCCGGAGGACGGGGGCTTTCACTTACAGCACTGCTTCGAATACCTCCGCCAGAGTATTCTCTGCTGTGGTGATGTGGCGCTTGAGGGCACGCAGACGACGTTTCCGCCTGGGTTCGAGGGTAGTGATGGTTGGGATGCGAAGCATGTATGCCGAGATTATAAGCAGGTGAAAACGTTCCTGGATGCAAAGAGGGCGGACGATGAGCTTTGGATTTAAGCGTGCATCATAATGGAGGTGTTCTCGAGGCCCGAATTGGTAGCACTGACGTATCACCACCTGTCTGTATTTATGATTGCGTCAGGGGTAGCAATACTTCGTCAGATTCATCTTGCAGGGGTTCTCATTGCAAACGAACCGTTACACATGCTTTGTATTCAAAACACCAAACAGGAAAAGAAAAAGCAGGAAATTTCTTGTAAATGATTGAAATATATATGACTCAGATCTGGCAAGACCTGTCCGCTCCCTTCTCGCTTCAAGGACCGTTGCTCTGAGCTGACGCGTGAACGAAAACTGTACTTCAGTTGCACCAAACTGGGCTCCGAGACCCAGATTAATATACAAAACGAAAGAATGGTGAACAAGCAAAAGACAAATGGAACCCCGCTGTCCCGTCCTACTCCCAAAACGCCTTGTAGGATGGAGGTGGTTTACCTAGAAAGCACACGATCCCTCCAAGTCAGATAAAACAACATTGGACCACCCGCAGCCCAGAGCGGTCGTCTTTGTTCGAAACCCCTTGATTTATCATTATCGTCTCAAATATGGGGTTGTATTGTAATTAGTCATGTGTTGGCAATCAATGGACTACCACTCTGTTTAGTCATCTTGTGGTCTTGCGCTTGAAGGCTCAATGACAATCTGCGGGAGAGGCTGGAGGCGGAGTTGTGGCAGTTGAGGGGCAGTACTGCCACTCCTCGGGGAGGGAGAGTCCCCATCAGCTCGGCCATCCGTAGGCGACCGCCTCCCGGCGGCCAAATCAGACATTTCCGTGACCAACTGCGAGGCTCTTCGCTGCGCAGGTCCGCTGTATACGGGAGGTGGCTCATTGTGAGGAGTTGTAGCCCCCGAGCGGGTATCTTCCAATGAGACATCTTCGTATCCAGGGGGTGAGTGTAAGGGCATGTCCGAATCGGGCTCGATGATTTCGGGGCTCGACCCGGCTCGAGTATTCAGACGAGGTGTCGAAGGACGTGAGCTGGCGCGTGATCTCGGCAATCCTGGCGACGGGAGATCGCTGTCAAAGCTCAAGACGGAGCCTGAGCTAGCTGCTCTTTGGTGCTGCATGGGCGAGATGACGCCAGAGCGGGTTGATGTAGCAGCGATGCTAGCAGCGTCAGACAGTAAGCCCATCCTCTCGCTCTCGTTGCTGTTGGCGCGCAGGCGTGTTCCATCGTGTCGTGCAACGCCGAGATCGCCATATGATACGCTCGAGACTGCGCGTTGACGTTCATTCTTGAGGCGCTCGTGATCGCGGCGTAGTTCCTCCAGCACAGAGTTGTTACTGGCAGCACGAGTCCTATCCCTGATGTTTTGGAGTGCCACAACGTCGTTTCGAGTCCTAGCATCTTGTCGCTCTCGTCTGCGCTCCTCACGGTTGGCGATTTCCTGTCGGCGGGCCACGCGGATTTCGTAGAGTGATGCCATTTCGCGCTCCCTTCTTTCCTCGTCCTCCTCGGCCGTGGGGTTTTCGACAACAATATCGACACCATCTCTCTCGCCTTCGCGACCGATGACCTGCTCATTCTCGAGTGCTTGGGCCCTGTAAGCAGGCAGGGTCATGACGGAGCGGACCGAAGTATTCCGGTCAATCGTCGAGGTAGTATTCGAGGAAGCATTCCCCTCGCCCGCAGCAGGGGCAAAGCGGACTGAGGCGCGGTTTCGTCGGCCGGCAGAAGCTTCAACGGCATCATCGTCATGGGCTTGCTGATAATCGCGTCCGCGACCGGTCAGCGACAGACCAGAAAACCAGCCACGGTTGCCAGTCTGGGCGTTGCCTCCCTTCTTTTTGTTTGCATGGCGAAATCGAAATGCGCGAATCACGAGATAAAGCAATGTCAGAAGAATCAGGCCCATCAGGCAGGCTAAAATAATCTGGAGCAAGGATGATTAGCATGGCACAGACAAGCGAGGCGTTGGCTGATACGAGCCAGCCGAAGGTGGTAGCGAAGGCGTACAATTGTCACAAGCTTGCGCTCATTGCCCTGTTGACGACGAGCGAGGACTTGACGCCTCCGCGCATCTTCCCAAGAGTCTGGAGACAAGACAAGAACGGCAGGCAAGTGGTGGGCGAATAGATGCATGGTTGTGGAACAAAAAACGAGCGACTGGATGGCGATTCATAAAGGTGGGGTGGAAGGAGCAGAGACCGGACGAGAATCCCAAGGCGGGGTCCAGACGTCGGGCGGCACGATGTCTCGTCAGATCGGCTGAGACATGGACGCTGTCGAAGTCGAGGTCGGTGAGAGGTGTGCGCTCGTGAGAATCAGACAGTTGAGAGGGTTGTCGCAGTAAAGCAGAAAAGAGAAAGAAAGGACGAAAAGAGGACGAGAGATGGACGATGATGGGGCTGGGGCAGAGCACCTAGGCAACCTTGCCTCACTTCAGGTACGGCAACTGGGACACGGACGTACTTGCCGTGTGCCTACTTGCGTGCAGGACAATGCCTGTCTGACTGGCAGTGAATACGGGCGCAGACGTGGAGCACCTGGTAGGCGGACAGCCAGGTCTGCTAGGAAAGTACCGACGCGATCAATTGGCAGGCGGGCTAGCGGGTCGGGCTGTTCTTTCTTGCTTGCGGTCAGGGTAAGACGCAGAAGCCGGACCTCTCGGCGCACTGGTGCTTCCCTGGACTAGGTCCACTGGGAGACCGGGGTACTGTTATGTCATCCTATTCTCAGGCCCATAGGGCGGTCCCGTCTTGGTCAGGCCTTCGCGTCTCGAAACACCTGTTCATCTCCATTTGGTTGCTGTGCTACCTCTCTCACTCGCCATCCCTTTCTGGCCAAATCTGCATATCGTCCGTCTTTGGCTCGCCTCCGCGAAAACCGATACTTGATTCTCAATTGCCTCTTCAGCAGTGTGAGGTACATGCAGTTTGGCAGTTGCGTTGCACGCGTCCACTCAGATGTCATGACCGACAGCCTGACCCAGGACGCTGGGGCGGTGCTCTCGAATGATGGGGACTGAGGTTGATCAGCGTTTGAAGTCTGCCCCGTGACATCAGCAGACGGCTGCCTCTCAAAAGTCAATCTATGGCTACCTATGGCACTCTGCATCGCGATCTTCGAGGATGAGGCAGCTTCGGTCTTTCGTATTGCTAACCTGCTCTAGCGAACGCATCTTGGACGACATTGTTTGCTGCTACCCGCCGGGGCGTCGCGGTGTGCTACCTGTTCCTGGCTAACCAAGCGATGCACCTCAGCTCGTCTTTGGTGGTGCATTCAGGCCCCCAAGACATACCTACATGGTACATTGTGAGAGGCGACCAGCAACTCGACCTTCCGCCGGCCGGTCCCCACACACACCCGGCCCAGGTCCCCTGGTCTCCACAGACGGCAATGACCGATGCTTAGACATCCTGGACCGTCCACTTCAGCCATTATGCATAGCCAGATGAGTAGTGTCAGAAGAAAGTGCGTGCTTCAGATCATGATCCCACCCCCTTCCTAACCGACCAAGGCTTCGGATGCCATCAGCGAATATACGTGACCTCGGTCGTTCCTAGCTCGCCGGCTTCGTCCCCACGTAGCGCAACAGCCAGTGTGGTGTCTGTTTGTCCTATCAGGAGGCGCAGGCACCTATCAACCGTGTTCAAGACATCTACATCTATCTAGTCTCAGACCTGCATACACGTCATGTACCTCGCCCAATCAGCCAGCAGCAGAATGCCAACCTACCAATGAGTTAGGCGATCCTGACGCACCTCCAAGCCTTGTGCTGGCGTTGATGAAGTCACATCACTGCCACACGCTTTTTGCTCACATCATTCGACAGCCACCATAACACCAAGAGGAGGCTGAACAGCTCAGCCCTACCAGTGATGCGGCTGCCGATCACCCCCCAAAGCTTTCCCTGTTCATGAAGGGATTCAATTTTCGACCCCATATTGGCTCTGCCATCAGCATAGGTGCATTGCTCGTGTCGTACAGCGTCAGCTGTGCACACTTCAGAGTATGATGACCTCAGCTGACAGACTCTCCCCCTCAACCATTTGTCACCTATTTGTTGGTCGATAGCAAAAGTGCACGATCGCTTGTATCTTGGCCCAACACCCAGAGCTCGCGCCTTATTAAGTAACTGGGATGCGAGCCCCATAAGACGGGAACGGCGTGATTCCCGATCTTGTTGCATTGAATAGGGTCTCCGCCATCCCAACCTCGTGGTTGACAAGATCGTGCACTAGATACGCTGATCTCAGGAATGAATCTCCCAGGATATAAGGTGCCCGTGTTTGATTGCGTATCCCGAATTGGCAGAGACGTAGCCCCTTCCACGGGCTCCCTTCACCCCCGATAAGAGGCTTGCCGCTGGCGTTGGGCCACTTTGTTGAATCAATCACAAGCTCGCCTATTCCGACTTCGATCGTCGGCCCTTGGTCATCTCCAAAATGGAAAGCAAATTTTTCCCGACCTCTTGCGCGCGAGCATGGCAGCATAGGTGCCTTGAAGCTACTTAACCACTTGACGCCAGCTTCTTCCCACATAGCGTGTGCTAGGTCATTGGGGAGGAAGCTCAATGTCGCGCCGCTGTCGAGCACTGCGCGGATCGAGCATTCGTGACAGGGCAGCGACAGGTCATGATTCCCACGCCCTACACTGATACCAGCCATGGCAACTCCGAAGTAGTCATATTTTCCCAGGTGGTTCTTCAGCACCGGCACCACTTTAAGGTTCCCAACGTACTTTTCCGTGTCGATGCCGCCAAACAAGAGACTACCGCCTGCGGCGTCTTGAGGACAAGTCAGCTCGGGTCCGCTTCATGAATTACTCTAGGGGATACACAACTTACCCAGGTTATTGAGCCAGAGGCTATAGGCTACCGTGTTGATGAGTCCTAGCCTCTGCATGCGTACGGGTAAGTTGTCGTAAATGTTTCCCCAGGTCTGCAATGCGACATTATGGTGGTATCCAATGCCGGCCAGTCCATATGGCACGGTTGACTGTCTGGCAAGGCCCATGGCCAGACTTGAGACCCTGGTACCACCGATCTCGACAGTGTCCTCAAAGTAGTCACCCGACGCAGAGCTTTGGTCAAGATACGCAATCTTGAACTTTTTCGGTGCGGCAAGGCGATAAGTGAGCGACTCGAGCGGATCAACTGGCCAAATGACGTCAGTGAAGCTATCACATCAAGCTCCAGGGTGCCGCACTTACAGGCCCCGAGCTTGCAGTTGTTCGCTCCTTTTACTCGACAAATTTTGGCTGACGTGTAAGGCACCCAAAGGTCGGCGCTCCCAGTATCCAGATGCAGTGACAGTTCCTGGCCCGGCGTCCCTATCTTGACCTTTGTGAAGTAGCCAACGTGGCCGTTGGTAACCCTGCTTTCGATTGTTGGATTATGTCGACGTTGTAAGTTAGGCTCGTAATCGACTACCTTCCTTTCGATATCCAAGTACACGACTCCGTCCTGTGCACCGGCTAGCATAACCTGGCACAGGATGAGGGTGAGGGCTTTCTGCATTGCGGGACGGTTTGACGTGGAGAGACTTGGGCACCGGCCATCAAAGAGAGGCTACAGATCTTCGGTCACATAACTTGCGAGAGGAAGAGCCAACTTCGGGCTGCCGTCATTATATGGATCGATGTCATTGACCAGACATGTCATGAATACTCCCTTTCACGAATACTCCCTCTTGTCGGGTAGCGCTCATATTGGCCTCCTGCCTTGGCGCATGAACTGATCAACCAAGCCACAGCAGCGCCCGAGGCTGGCTGGGCTGGTTGGTGATGACCGTGGCTTGCGGACCTGGGACGATTGTCCATCAGCGCAAATGATTGCGAGCAATGTTGCGTGTGCGGAGTAGTAGCTGCATGTGAGTTACATTGTCTGATCAGTCTTCGAATGGGGACAATTGCCAGAGCAAGGTTCACTGAAAGACATCGTTTCGACACCATTTCATACAGCCTGCAAAATGGTTGTCTGAGAGAAATGGCTTCCGGTGGCGGGGCTGGAAGAGGCTGATGTAGCTGCAGAGCATCTGCGAATGTTGGAACAAGACCGTCTCCCATCTCCTAGATTACCACATGCCCCCGACCGTAGTATACGGCGTTGCGTGCTCCAAGGATTTCCTTCAAGCTTTCGGCAACGAGGGATGCGTTCTTATTTGGACGTGCATGCGGTGACTTCTTATGCATATTCGAGATGGAGGGTCCTCGCAGTCAAAGCTGCCAAGTGGCGTGACTGCAGAGCACGGGTAGAACAAACTCAGGTGTGAATCTGAGGAGCAGGTGAGTTCAGGTTGCATGGGTGAGCAAAAGAAGGCACACGTCGGAAGCCGCTTGACTCAAATCTGAGGCGGGCCGAGCCTTAGTCAGGAACATGGGAGACACGAACCCACGTGACTGCGCGGCTCCTCCAATCAACCGTCAGCTAAAAAAGTTTCGCTCCATGGGCTATCGCATCGCTCATCAGTCTATTTCGATGGCCCTGGTCAATCCGTAACGAGTTTCCTTCTCGTCCATTTTCGCTCCCCATAATCCTCCCCATTGGTCACGATGAGGGCTTCAAGGGCTCTCAGAGTGCCGAATGGCGGCCTTTTCGTGGGCGCAACGTCCCAGGCCCGAGGAGCGCGATGCTTCAGCATTGCCTTCAACACCAGATCCACCCCTTCAGGGGCTGTCTGCCAGATCGACACCAGGCGGGCCTTCACCCAGACGACGAGGTTCCGATCCAGCGAGGCCGCCCAGGAGGCCCTCAAGATGGCCCAGAATAACTCTGACGCCCTCACGCCCGACGCTGTCCTCGCACGTATGTCCCCCGAAGAAGCCCATCGACTTTCCCGAGTACGAAACATTGGCATCGCGGCCCACATCGACAGCGGAAAGACAACATGCACAGAGCGTGTGCTCTTCTACACTGGTCGCATCAACTCGATTCACGAAGTTCGTGGCAAGGACGGTGCCGGCGCCAAGATGGACTCAATGGACCTCGAGCGAGAGAAGGGCATCACCATTCAGTCGGCTGCTACCTTTGCCGACTGGAAGAAGGTAGAGAACGGAAAAGAAGAAACGTACCATGTCAACATTATCGACACTCCCGGACATATTGATTTCACTATTGAGGTCGAGCGCGCTCTGCGCGTTCTCGATGGTGCCGTCATGATCCTGTGCGCCGTCAGTGGTGTGCAGAGCCAGACGATCACTGTGGACCGTCAGATGAAGCGCTACGACATTCCCCGTCTCAGCTTCGTGAACAAGATGGATCGTGTTGGGTCCAACCCCTGGAAAGCCGTCGACCAGATCAACAAGAAGCTCAAGATTCCCGCTGCTGCCATTCAGGTGCCCATCGGGCTGGAAGACGAGCACGAGGGTGTCATTGACATTGTCGACATGCAGGCCATCTACTTTGAGGGTGCCCGTGGCCTCGACGTCAAGCGCACCGACGTGATCCCTCCCCAGCTCAAGCAACAGGTCGAGGAGAAGCGTCAGGAGCTCATCGAGAAGCTGGCTGACGTCGACGACGAGATTGCCGAGATCTTCCTTGAAGAGCAGGTCCCCACGACTGCGCAGATCAAGGCCGCCATCCGCCGTGCCACCATCGCCCTCAAGTTCACGCCTGTCCTCATGGGATCTGCTCTCGCCAACAAGGGTATCCAGCCCGTGCTGGATGCTGTCTGCGACTACCTACCCAACCCCGGTGAAATCACCAACAAGGCCCTCGACAAGTCCAAGGACGAGAAGGAGGTCAAGCTGGTCCCCTACAACTCGCTTCCCTTTGTCGGCCTCGCCTTCAAGCTTGAGGAGAACAACTATGGCCAGCTGACCTATATCCGCGTCTACCAAGGCAAGCTCAAGAAGGGTTCATACCTGTTCAACTCTCGCACCGACAAAAAGGTCCGCATTCCCCGTATTGTGCGCATGCACTCCAACGAGATGGAAGACGTCAACGAGATTGGTGCCGGTGAAATTTGCGCCGTTTTTGGCGTTGACTGCGCTTCCGGCGACACTTTCACCGACGGTGGCCTCCCCTACACCATGACGTCCATGTTCGTGCCCGACGCCGTCATGTCGCTGTCGATCAAGCCCAAGCGCAGCGCCGATGCCGACAACTTCAGCAAGGCCATGAACCGTTTCCAGCGCGAGGACCCCACGTTCCGTCTCCATGTTGACGAGGAGAGTGAGGAAACCATTATTTCCGGCATGGGCGAACTGCATCTCGAGATCTACGTCGAGCGTCTCCGCCGTGAGTACAAGTGCGACTGCGTCACGGGCCAGCCCCGTGTCGCCTACCGCGAGACCGTCTCCCGCCACGTCGACTACGACTACCTCTTCAAGCGCCAGTCCGGTGGTCCCGGTGACTACGCTCGTGTTGCCGGATTCCTCGAGCCCCACACGGACCCCGAGGCCAACCTGTTCGAGGAGAAGGTTGTCGGCGGCACCATCCCCGACAAGTACCTCTCCGCATGCGCCAAGGGTTTCGAGGAGTCGGTCACGCGCGGCCCCCTGCTGGGCCACAGGGTCATCGGCACGCACATGGTTGTCAACGACGGCTCCACGCACGTTACTGATTCGTCCGACCACGCCTTCAACCTCGCCACGCAGATGGCGTTCAAGAAGGCCTTTGTCGACGCCGGCGGCCAGGTGCTCGAGCCCCTCATGAAGACGACCATTACGGCGCCCAACGAGTTCCAGGGCAGCATCCTCATGCTCATGAACAAGCGCAGCGCCACCATCATCGACACGGAGATTGGCACCGAGGACTTCACCCTCATCTGCGACTGCTCGCTCAACTCCATGTTCGGCTTCAGCTCGCAGCTGCGCGCCGCCACCCAGGGCAAGGGCGAGTTCGGCATGGAATTCAGCCACTACGCACCCGCGCCACCCCACCTCCAGTACGTTTTCTTCCCCTCGTCTTGTTGGTATGATTTGATCAAGTGCTAACCACATTGCGTGTGTAGGAAGGAGCTCATCGCCAAGTACGAGAAGGAGCTCGAGGCGAAGCGGACGAAATAAGCCATTGCACGACATTGAAGGGGCTTTCGGCAGCATGAAAGAGATGATGCTTAATGTCCCCTGGGCCATGTACCATAAGGTCTGGGCGGGCCAGAGAGGGCAGCCTGGAGCATAAAAAGGGAGAGGGAGAGGGAGAGGGACAGGGGAGAGGACCCTCTCAAACCGTGTAAACTGTACCATATTGTCTCAAAAAGTGAGATAGGCTGTGCTGCCTAGGTCCCTATGAGGGACTAGCAGGATATTTGCACGATAGAATACCTAGACTTTGTAGTGAATGAACCACCTCACTTTTTTCTTCGCGCACTCACCGACTTATCTGCGTAGACACAATTTCCAAAATAGGTTGTCACTGCAAGAAGAGCGTTGGGAGTGTTCCAAAATAAACGTTTGCCTTTTGTTCAACCAAACACCATTCTAGCAATCTATCAACAGCATGTTCACATCTACAGCCTCCTCAGGATATCCTCGATGACCTCGGTCGTCTTGGCAGTGCCGCCAAGGTCAGGGCTCAGCAGCTTGCCCTCGGTCAGGTTGGCGTCGACGGCGGCGTAAATCTTGGCGGCGGCAGCCTCCTCGTCGAGGAACTCGAGCATGAGGGCGGCGCTGCGCAGGGTGGCGATGGGGTTGGCAATGTTCTGGCCCATGATGTCGGGGGCGCTGCCGTGGCAGGGCTCGCCGATGGCGAAGCCCTCGCCGACGTTGGCGCTGGGGACGAGGCCGAGGGAGCCAACGAGGGCGGCGGCGTCGTCGGAGAGAATGTCGCCGTAAAGGTTGGGGTCGACGATGACATTCTTAAGCCTTAGGCTGGAGGAAAAGCTTGTATACCATGCTGTCCACAATCTG